CTTCAGAATGTAAGCTCGAGCTCTGAGACAAATTTTTGTATTTTGTGTTTTTCAATTTTTATTTCTTTTTCTTAATATACCTACACCTAAACTAATTTAAACATAAAATAACAATAAAAATTAACTAAAACCTAAAAATTAAAGCAAAAATAAAAATGAAAAGAAAATACAGTACAACATACAAATGCTAAGTTTAACGTCGACAGCTCCATAGCATGTTAAGTTTAACATCGATAGCTCGATGAAAACTGGCTTCTCTAGTCCAAGTAAATAGGATCATGAAGTTTTACTGCCTCCACTGTGCCTCTCTGCCTTAATGTAAGGTTTAAGTCTCTGTCCATTGACTTTGGACACTTGTCCAGTCTTGCAATCTTGTACTTCTATTGCACCATAAGGTGTAACAGAAATAACCAAATATAGACCCTCCCAACGTGACTTAAGCTTTCCAGGAAAAAGTTTCAGTCGTGCATTAAACAACCAAACCTTCTGTCTGAGCTCAAAAGTCTTACGCAAGATATGTTTGTCATGAAATGCCTTAGTCTTGGATTTATAAACCTTAGCACTCTCATAAGCATCATTACGTAATTCTTTGAGCTCAGTTAGTTGAAGCTTCCGGTTAGAACCAGCAGAGTTCATATCAAAATTGAGCATTTTTATGCCCAGAGAGCTCAATGCTCTAATTTCACAGGAAGATGACACTCTTTACCATAGACGAGACGGTAAGGTAGCATACCAATCGGAGTCTTAAAAGCTGTACGGTAAGCCTACAAAGCATCATTTAGTCTAAAAGACCAATCCTTACGATCTGGCTTAACCATTTTTTCAAGAATTCTCTTAATCTCATGATTAGATATTTTAACTAAGCCACTTATTTGGGGATGATAGGGAGTGGCAACTTTATGAGTGATGGAGTATTTTTGTACCAAAGTACGGAAGTACCTATTATAGAAGTAAGCACCACCATCATTAATAATAGCTCGTGGCATACCAAACCGACTAAAAATGTTCGTTTGAATGAACTCAACCACAACTGTGTGATCAGCGGTTTTAGTAGCCACTGCTTCTACCATTTAGACACATAATCAACAACCACAAGAATGTATTCATTTTTATTTGACTGAACAAAAAGACCCATGAAATCAATACCCCATACATCAAAAACCTCAATGACTAAGATTGGAGTTAAGGGCACCATGTTTCTTCTGGAAATTGATCCTAACTACTGACATCTAAGGCATAACCTGCAGAACAAATATGCATCATGAAAGAGTGAAGGCCAAAAGAAACCACACTGAAGAATTTTAGATTCAGTTTTCTTTGAACTGAAATAACCTCCACATGCCAAGGTATGACAAAAGGTCAGAATACTATGAAACTCACTCTTAGGAACACATCTACGAATGATTTGGTCAGCACAATACTTAAAGAGCTGGGGATCTTCCCAATAGTACATCTTAACCTGAGAGAAGAATTGATCTGTTTCCTGCTTTGACCAAGATAAATGAATTCTGCCTATTACAAGATAATTCACAATATCAACAAATCAAGGTAAATTCCTATAAGAAACCCCAAACAGTTGTTCATCCGGAAAGGAATTACAAACTAGAAGTGAAGTTGAGGTATCCTCAGTCAAAATTCTAGAAAGATGGTCAGCTACCATATTCTCTAACCCTTTCTTATCTCGGATCTCATAATTAAAGTCTTGAAGCAAGAGGATCCATCGAATCAAATAGGGTTTGGTTTCCTTTTTGGATAGAAGATGTTACAAAGCAGAATGATTAGAATAGACCATTACTTTGGAACCCAACAGATATGATCTAAATTTATCCAAAGTGAAGACAACTGCAAGCAACTCTTTTTCAGTAGTGGTATAACTCAATTGTGCATTTGAAAGAGTTTTGCTTACATAGTAGATAACACGAGCAAGTTTATCTACTCGTTATCCCAAGACCGCACCCATAGCATAATCAAATGCGTCACACATGATCTCAAATGGAAGAGCCCAGTTATAATAAGAGCTGAAGAAAGAAGAGAACAAAGCTTATGGAAAGCTTCTAGGCATGATTCATTAAATACAAAAGGAGCGTCCCTTGCAAGTAGATTACACAAAGGACGAGAAATTTTGCTGAAATCTTTAATGAAACGTCAATAAAACCCGGCATGCCCAAGAAATGATTGCACTCCCCTTACAGAGGTAGAAGAAGGCAATTTAGAGATCAAATCTACTTTGGCTCTATCAACTTCAATACCTCTTTCTGAAATGATATGTCCTAAAACAATCCCCTCTTGAACCATAAAATGGCTCTTTTCCCAACTAAGAATAAGATTTGTTTTCCTACAACGCTGAAGCACTAGGGACAGATGTTGGAGACAGTTCTCAAATGTGGATCCGAAAACAGAGCAGTCATTGATGAACGCTAAATATTACATATTCGAGCCCCTAAATATACGTATGTTGAGACCTAAAGTGATACTTTTATCCATTGTTAAACTAATTTATGTTAAATGTGTGTTTATAGGCATTTTCTCATAGAAACAGCTAAAACCGGGACTTTATGATGATATTGAAGCATACAAAGTCATTGTCGGTCATTCAAAACAAGCCGAGAGCTTAAATGGTGAAGTTTGAAAGAATTCAGGAACCAAAGCTGGAGCCAAGCCCTACAAGAAAAAGAAGAAAAAATCAACAAGGCATTGAAGCTCGAGCCTTGTACCTTCAAAGCTCAAGCCCTACTCAGGGTGCTCGAGCCTTGGCCCTCAAGCTCGAGCACAAGGCATCAGAATTTGAAGAGTTAATTTAAAAGAAGAACCAAGCTCCCAGGGCCTCGTGCCAGACCTTAAGGATCGAGCATCATTATCCAAAGCTCGAGCCTTGAGTACCTAAAGCTCTAGCCTGGTACCGAGAGCTCGAGCCCATGAAGCTTGGATCTAACAATGTTAAAAGAGATGAATCCCAAAAATATTCTAAGTGTTGATGGAAAAGACGTTTCAGAAAATAGTTGAAGAAATTTGGCTAAGTGTAATAGTGAAGATCGAGCACCATTCCTTAAAGCTCAAGCAATAATTCAATGAAGCTCGAGCCTTGTTCCAAAGCTCAAGCCTGAATCTCAAAGCTCGAGCTCTACTTCTTAAAGCTCAAGCCATCCATGACAGATCAAATTTAAGTTACGAGATTATTCTTTTTACAGCCGTATCTCATTCCAGATGGGCCAGAAAACCTAAAAGCCCAACAGACCTTTATTTTCCTCATAAAAGAAGGCGCAGGCCTTGATAGAAGAAGTTCATTTTCTCGTATTATTCAGAAGGCTAGTATTATGGTGGCGGCTTTTAGGGTTTCCACAACCTTAGAAGGTGAAGATCATGAGAAAAGAAATGTCGTCCATGATGACGAAGACAACAATAACACAGAGGATATTTTGCGTCATCATAAGTAGCTAATTTCTCTCTTATGGCATTGATGTAACCCATCTGATTAGTATGGTTTGATTGTATTAACTCTGGGATATTTTAATATATACTATATTTTTTGATTACATGATAATGAGCAATTGAGACAACTCGATTAGTTCTTTACAGTTTTAATAGTTATTGAATTGTTATTACCTTGTCTTAAATATAACTGATTCATTAACTAGACTCAACCCATTCTTATCGAACGGTATCAGGCGGAGCCCTGCCGGACATAAGAATGGAGATCATGTAATGGTGTTCCAATGTTTGCTATAAATGAATGTTTTCATAGTCTATGCTTAGGAAAGATGGATTATTTACAAATTAGTTAAAGTAGGTAGGTGGATAATCTTTGCTAACCGCAGATAGGTTATAGTTAACTGCAATTTATAAAACATCTTTCTTTAAAACCTCGAATTGAACGAATGTTATTGAGTTCAATTCATTTGAAATATAATTTATTAAATCCCCAGAGTTAAAATAATTAACTATGGTATGAAAGTTATGGTGAAGTCAAGTCCCTAAGACCTCTCTTTCTCTGATCACTTTAGTATAACTTAGTTTAATTTTATTTTATGTTCGTGACAACCAACCAATCAACCAATTCAATCAGTTACTTGTAAACCAATAAAGATTAGTTAAAAGCAAAACATAATAACTCATTTTCCTGTGGGTTCGACACCTCTCTATAATGCTATTCTACAAAGATTCGTGCTATTGTGAGTGGTTATTATTATTATTGACACGCATCAATTTTTGGTGCTGTTGTAGGGGAGATTTGTTTATTTGTTTAGTTTTTAGTTAGTTTACTTTTGGTTTACCAGTCTTCGGACTTTCTGATATCTCACCTTAATTCTTTTTGCAACAGGCCAAAGACGCTTATAGAATAAAAAGCTTTGGTTTATAAAACCTTCTGTGAGTTTTTGCTATTTTCTTTTACTTGGAAAATTTTTATTTTTGTTACTATTAGGATTAGTGGAATTAGTGCATGTTAACTCGCCATAATCGGTCAAAACCTTTAGTGCATGATCTTGAAATAGAGAGAACTCTTAGTCAATTAAGAAAAGTTAAAAAATATTTGAATTCAATAGGAAGTTCCTCTAATAACATGGATGATCATCGTGATGCACCGGGTAATGGCAATGGTAATGGTAATGGCAATGGTGAACGGGTGCCACCTGTTCCTCTACAACCACAATTGAGGGATCATTTTATTCCAACCACATATACTTCCCCTTCGTGCTTTGTATTTTCGGATGCTGATGCAACTCATTTTGAGATCAAGCCTACTATGATCCAAATACTTCCTACCTTCCAGGGGTTTACAACAGAGGATCCTTATACGCACTTGGATGTATTTTTGGAATTGTGTTTGACTACCAAGTTGACCACTCTTACCAACGATTCATTCAGGATGCGACTTTTCCAATTTTCTCTCAAGGACAAAGCAAGAACTTGGTTGCAGTCCCTTCTAACAAATTCCATATCTATATAGGACATGTTGCAACAAGAGTTCTTGAACAAGTACTACATAGTGGGTAAAACCTGTCAAATGAGAAAAGAAATCATGGCATTTTCCCAAATCCCGGGAGAACAGCTCCATGATTCATGGGAAAGTTATGATGATTTTCTTAAGAAATGTCCACACCATGATATTTCTAAATGGCACTTAATACAGATTTTCTATGATAGTCTTTCTGATTCTTATAGAAATATAGTAGATACATCCAGTAATGGAGCCTTTCTGCGTAAGAGTCCAGCTGACGTTTGGAAACTATTTGAGGCCCTAAGTGAAAATTCAATGCAACACGCTTCTTCCTCTAGGTCTAAGTCTTCACCTGGAATGTATAAGGTTGAAAAACTCCATGAGGTAGACAAATCTAGTGAGTTATCCGCTCAAATAGAAGCATTGAATCGTAAGTTTGATCAAGTCTTATTATCTGGCTATGTTCCTGTTTCTAATCCACAAACTGCCTTGCTAAAGGAAGTTTGTTCAATCTGTACCAATCCTTCCCATTTTGCTGACACTTGCCCTATGATGGGACAATCATTTGAGATCCCACTGGATCAAGTGAATGCTGCATTCTCCAGACCAGCGTATAATTCGTATGCTTCTACATATAATCCTGGCTGGAGAGATCATCCAAATTTATCATGGCGTAATCAAAGTTAATGAACTATTGTTCCTCAATCTCAGGGACGGTACCAAAATTCATCCAATCCTATGCCAAAAAATAATTCTTTCAATCAATCTAATATTTATTGTCCACCTTAGTTCAAGAATCAACCCACTCAAACTCCCAATCTTCCACTTCCTCCTAGAAATTCTACTTTTGAGGATCAAGTACTCAATGGTCTTATTGATCTTAAAGCCAATACCTAACTTCATAATTCTCATTCACAAGACATAGCGAAGCTAGAGGCATAAGTTGGGCAAATAGCGAGTGCTCTATCTCGAAGAGATGATGAAAAGCTGTCTAGTTAACCAGTAGCCGACCCGAAAAGGTAGACTTACATGATTGATGAAACCAATTCCTCAGGTATTCATTATGAGCAAGTTCAGGCTATCACTACATTGAGGAGTGGTAAAGTGGTTGATAATCAAGTTGAAAAAGAACAGGAAGAAAAAGAGAGGCTTAGGGTTCCCATTGTTCCTATCATTCATAGTTCATATCCTAATGATGTTTCCTCAAGTTCTATTCCACAATCCACTACAGGAGTTGAAGGTAGAGTCACTTCTTCATCTGCTCCAAACCTTGAGACAGCTTATGAGCCAAGAGCGCCTTATCCTGAACATTTCAAGGAACCCTCCTACTTTGGTAAACAAGGAGAGAAAATTCAAGATATGATGGAGGTCTTTAAATACGTCAAAATCAATCTTCCTCTGCTTGATGCTATAAAGCAAATTCCAGCCTACTCCAAATTTTTAAAGGACTTATGCACTCTTAAGAGAAAATTCAAAAGCCAAGTTCCTAAGAAAATTTGTTTCACTGAGTAAGTCAGTGCTATTCTTAAGTACAACACTCCTCTAAGGGTTAAAGATCCTGATGCTCCTACAATTTCTTGTATCATTGGAAACAATGTGATCGAGCGAGCACTTCTTGATCTTGGAGCAAGTGTGAACCTTATTCCTTACTCGGTGTTTGAGAAGTTAGGTTTGGGAAAGTTAAAACCTACATTGGTTGTTCTACAGTTTACTGACCGTTCTGTCAGACAACCACGAGGTATTATTGAAGATGTACTCATAAAAGTGGAAAAGTTCTTTTTTCCAGTCGATTTCTTAGTTCTTGATACAGAACCGGTCCACGATTCCAAAAAGTATATTCCAGTTATTCTTGGGCGTCCTTTTCTAGCCACAGTGAATATTTGTATTAACTGTAGGACTAAAGCCATGGATTTATCTTTTGGAAATATGAAAGTCAAGCTGAACATCTTCAATGCTATTCATCATCCCCACGATGACAATAAATGCTTCTTCCTTGGTGTTATTAATGAGTTGGTTGAGGAATCACTCCCAACTATTTTATCCAAGGATCCTTTAGAAGCTTGTCTAAATCACTTCAATTATAAAGACGTCGATATCGAATCTTCAATAGCTAAAGTGAATTCCTTGCTCAACTCCACTCCTTTCACAAATTTTCCTCCATAAAAACCTAGGCTTGAGCCTCTTCCACCACTTTCTAGTACTCCGCCTATTCCTTCTTTAGAGTCTCCACCTAAGCTTGAGCTTAAGCCACTACCGGACAAGCTCAAGTATGCTTTCTTGGGTTTAAATGACACCCTCCCGGTGATCATTGCTTCCAATCTTACAAGTTCCCAAGAAAGCAGTCTCTTAAAAGTTCTTGAGCAAAATAAAAAGGCTATTGGGTGGAGTGCGGCTGATTTAAAAGGAATTAGTCCAACAATTTGCATGCATCAGATTCATTTGGAGGAAGATTCCCGAACAGCTCAGGAACTCCAAAGAAGATTAAATCCTAATATACAGGAGGTGGTTTTGAAGGAAGCTGTGAAGTTGCTAGATGCGGGAATAATCTACCCCAGCTCAGATAACAAGTGGGTGAGTCCTACTCAGGTAGTACCTAAAAAGTCAGGTATTACAGTAGTTGAGAATTTTGAGGGAGAATTAGTTCCACAACGCACCACCACTGGATGGCATGTGTGTATTGATTACCGGAAACTTAACTCCGCTAGTAGAAAAGATCATTTTCCATTACCATTCATTGATCAGATTCTAGAGTGATTGGCTGGCCAGAGCTATTATTACTTCTTAAACGGATATTTCGGCTATAATCAGGTGGCCATTGATCCTAAGGATCAAGAGATAGCTATTTTCACTTGTCCATTCGGTACATTTGCATATAGACGGATGCCTTTCGAATTGTGTAATGCGCCAGTAACATTCCGGAGGTGTATGATGTCTATCTTTTTGGACATAGTTGAAAAGTTTCTCGAGGTCTTTATGGATGACTGGTGCGACCAAGCGTGTGCACAAAATAATGCACAACACTTTAGGTTTAGAAATAATATCAAGCGGGCACCATATTTTAAAATTTATAAACCGTTAGACACTTATACTATGTAGTATGAAGTGAGAAGGGATCGAACCCAAGAGATCTAAACAATTATAGGTCTTTCATAATTGAATTCTACTTTAGTGCTTATGTGATTGCTAAAAGGGTTTTGTTTGTGATTAAAACTAATTTTAAACTAAATGATTGCAATAAAGAAATAGAGTTTAAGAGATTGGAAAGAGACTTAGGGTGTAGGATTCACCACTAAGCACATTCCCTAACTCACTCACTTTCAACTAATTGGGGAAATAATACTATGTAATCTATATGTGGCTAACAAGTGCAATGAAAAGTGTGAACCATCAATTTCAAGCATGAATCAACTACCTAATGACAATTAAACTAAGTGTAGTGCAATTCACCCATTCAAAGCATGATTTATCAATCCAAGTTACAAATTTAACACACATTAATCTAGAAGATAATGCAATTGTGACAAAAAGTATGGAATTCAAACATAAGTATGGATGGTCTACTTACCTAATAATTGAATTGCAATTAAATTAATTGAACTTAAATTAAACTAATTAAACATGAATTTAAAACTAATTAGACAACAAATTAACCTAAACATGTAGTACCATCCATCAAATGGAAGCATTTTTCATCAATTTGAAACACAATTACAACTAAGCAATACCATGCATAGCCATCACAAGAATCAATTAACAAAGAATTCATGTGTAAAATTTGTTTATCAATCAACCATACATAAGACAATATGAGATTAATACAGATAATCAATTGGAAGAATTTAATTCATAATATTCAAGACTATACACTAATTACATAAATTAATCCCCAAAAAGTATGAAAAGAGAGAGAGAATAGGTTACATGCTTAGGGTTTATCCAACCCTAAGTAGAAGAATCAGCCACTCATGGTTGATGGAGTCGAAGACAGGACAATCCCCATCATCTACTTCATCTTCTCTGAACTTTTCTTCCAAACCCTAGCCTGTTCTTGCTTTTTCTCTTTTTTCGCGTGTTTTTCCAGAGAGAAAATACGATACTACGATACAGAAAAAAATAATAAAATAAAACTTAATTTCATTTCTCTAATAATCTTTACCTAAATAAAAACTAAAACTAACCCTAATCTAATGGCTCACTGGGCCTTAAGTAACAATCTCATTAAAGCCCAACAGTTCCCAAAATGAGCCCAAAAATTAAATAAAAACTGTAATGTTGCTAAGTCCTGGGGGATCGATCCCCCACCCTGGGGATCGATCCCCCCAGAGTTGACAAATTCTTTTAATTTCAAGAATGGGATTGATCTCCCAGTGTTTTTTTTTTTTTTTTTTTTTTTTTTTTTTTTTTTTTACAAAGGAAAAGAACATGTATATACAACCAACAAAATAAAATAAGAAAAATGGGCTAAGTTTAACGTCTCTAGCAAGACAGAATGTTACTGAAATTTTATTTTATTTTAATATTTTTTTATTTTTATCAAAAATAAATAAAGAAATAAATAACTAAAAACACTACTACAAATTCTACTTAGCTTTTTTTTTTTTTTTTCAAACATCAATGCTACTCTTTTTTTATTATTTTTTTTATTTTTTATCTACCTTTTTTTTTAATAAATCAATTCAAAAAAAAAAAAAATATATATATATATATATATACTTTTTAATTATTAAAATTTTTATGTTATGTTTTTATTTTTTTTATTTTTTATTTTTTTATTATTTTAATTTTTTTCTTTTCTTTTTTTATTTTTATTTTTATTTTATGTATCAATTGGAACGGCGAAGCCAAAAGCTCGCCGGAGAAGGATGAACAGCCGTGACCGCTGTTGGAAGAACCAACCGCCGCAAGAATTTGGCGATCCAAAAATTCGCCGGAAAGACGACGCCGATGCAGCCGTAAACCAGCCGCGATCGCTAGAAGAAAAGGGACGCCGATGAAGCCGAGATCGCTGGAATATGATACCGATGCAGCCGCAACCTCGCTGGAGAATAACGAGCTGCGAACCAACCAGCCGGAATTACTGGCTAACGAACCCAGAAAACGGCAAACGGCGTCGGAAAGACGAACCCAGATGCGACGCTGGAAAGCAACGAACAGTCGCGTCGAAAAATAA